GAGTAAAACCCATGTGTTGTGGAATCTAGGCTGGATCAGAAATGTTCACTCTATCACCATTACACCATTTTCATCTCCATGATTACCACTTATTGAGCACTTATGATGTTCTAGGCACTTGCTATCTTCTTTTAACCACCAGAGTTCTCGTTTTGCAGCTTAAGGGTACATAACATTTACCTAGTGCAGATTCTCACCAATCCTCCTCCCTTCTGATTCATTTGGACTGGGTTGGGGCCTGGAAATCTTAATGTTCAATAAGTGCCCCTACTTGAGACATGCCAGGAAAATGAGGCTTAAAGAAGTTAAATAACTTACCCAAGACCTTTGACCTGAGGCAGTCGGATGGCAATCCTTCCTTCCAGGGCCTTAGGGAATGTTCTTTCCTAGTGTCTCCCACCTCTCTCCCCTTCTCCCTGGCCCCCTCTGTGCCTAATGTTCTCATGTTGTCTTATATTCTTCAAAAGGGAGTATACTTCAGTAAGAACTAATCTACAGGTACTCACTTCCAAAATGACACCTCCATACTTTTCAAATTCTTTCCCTTTATCATGGCATCTAGATCATATCTATCAGCACCATCTGCATCCCCTGGGGTTTGTTAGAAATGCAGAATTTCAGGCCCAGCCCAGACCTACTAATGTAGAAGTAGATGTCTAGGAGATTTAAATACACATTAAAGTTGGAATAGATGCTGTTCTAGACACTTTTCAGCCAGACATTGATCTGATTATTTGATTAAATGATTCACCATAAAAGCAGTAATTTTCAACCCTGGTTGCATTTAGAATCATCTGATGCTTGAATGTTGATGCCTGGGCTCATCATCAAACCAGCTGAATCAGAATCTGTGGGGGTGGAGTTTATTCATCTATATTTCTAGAAATACCTTGGGTGAGCCCTAGCTGGTTTGGCTCAGTGGATAGAGCGTTAGCTGGCAGACTGAAGGGTCCCAGCTTCAATTCTGGTCAAGGGCACATGCCTGGTTGTGGGCTCGATCCCCAGTATAGGGCGTACAGGAGGCAGCCAATCAATGATTTTCTCTCATCGTTGATGTTTCTCTCTCTCTCTTCCTCTTCCTTCCTCTCTGAAATCAATAAAAATATATTTTAAAAAATACTTTGGGTGAGTGTAAGTGAAGTTAGGGTTCAGAACCACTGCTTTAAAGATTTTAAAAATTTAGGGGGATATTTAGAAACTGCTCTAAGTTAGAAGAAAAATATGCATTAAATTCCACATTAGTTTCTCAACAATCAGGATAAATTTCAAATTTCTCACATTAGTACCCAAGAAAGACCCTTTCTAAAATATATATACATATATATTTTTTTGATATCAGAGAGGAAGGGAGAGGGAAAGAGAGATAGAAACATCAATAATAAGAGAGAATAATTCATTGGCTGCCTCCTGCATGCCCCCTACTAGGGAGTGAGCCTGCAACCTGGGCATGTGCCCTTGACCCGAATTGAACTCCGGACCCTTCAGTCTACAGGCCAATGCTCTATCCACTGAGCCAAACTGGCTAGGGCAAGAAAGACCCTTTCTGATTTTGAGTCCTGTCTATATCTCCAGCCCTGTGTCCTGCTCTCCCACAGCCCACACTTTGGGGTGCCCCAAAGCACTGGCATTTCCCCAAACACACCCTGTTGCTTCATACCCCATGACTTTGCCCAAATTCTCTCTTCCTCCATTCTTTGCCTTATCAAAGACATGACTTTAAGCTTCTGCTTCTGGAAAGTCTTCCTCAATCCCACTATTCTTGGAGTGAAATTTTTGTTTTTATTAAGGTTTTTGTTTAATGGTTTCTAGTTATTTGTATTGTCAGCCACATCCCAAATCCAGGGACCCAAGCAGACCTGGCCTATTGTCTCCTATAAGCGTTGTCTTCCAATAACCACACTGGGAAAATGTGCTAATTCAGAGATGACCCTTAAATGTTGTTTAAAGTTCATTTAAACCCCAGCAAATGCAAAGGCCAGTGCCTCTGAACAAGAGAAATAATCAATCTTGCCTCTTACAAACTTATTGTATGTACCTAATATACACAAAACAGAAAACCTCTCCTTTACTAGAAAGGAGCTTTCTAGTAAACCTTACACATTTAAAATGTAATTTGACACATAAATTGCTTTTTCTCACTTTTGATCAATTTTTAGATTTTTTAAAAAATATATTTTATTGATTTTTTTACAGAGAGGAAGGGAGAGAGATAGAGAGTTAGAAACATCGATGAGAGAGAAACATCGATCAGCTGCCTCCTGCACATCTCCCACTGGAAATGTGCCCGCAACCAAGGTACATGCCCTTGACCGGAATCGAACCTGGGACCTTTCAGTCCGCAGGCCGACGCTCTATCCACTGAGCCAAACCGGTTTCGGCTTGATCAATTTTTAGAAGTAGCATGAAATGAACCTTGTGGGATTTTTTTCATTTATTTTCTATGTTGAGAATATCCTTCCTCACATAGAACATGAGGAAATTTTTGGATTTACATGGCATGATTTGGTGACCCGTTTTAGAATATGTAAACTTTGAATCAAATTGAATGAAAGTTTAAAGGTCCCTGAGAAAGAGTCAGATTTTCTCTTGCATAAGTAGTGTGACCTCTTCTAAGAAAAAAGTCTAAACACCTCTGAAATAGGTGTTTAATTTTTTTCTCATTTTTTCTTATAAACTTTCAAGAGACAGGAAAAGTAATTCCCAGGATATGCATTTCTTCTCTTGAATGCTCTGACCTCCAAATTCTCCCTGTTCTATCTGCTAAGAATTGAATTGAGGGAAACAAGAACTATTAATCTATTTAAAGAAAAAAAATTAACAGCTGGGAGGCTTCCAGTCAAGATGGCAGAATGGGTAAATGCAGTACTTGTCTCCTCCCACAACCGTATCAAAATTGCAACTAAACTACAGATCAACCATCATTCAAATTGCCTGAAATCTAGCTAAGTAGAAGTCCTATAACTAAGGATGTAAAGAAGAATCCACATCAAGACTGGTAGGAGGGGTGGAGATAAGGAAGGACTGGTCCCACACCCACCTGTGGTGGATAACAATCAGAAGGGACATCTCAGCTGTGGAGGTCCCCCTGAAGATGGAGGGATCCGAGCCCCACACCAGTCCCCACAGCCCAGGGTTCCAGAGCCAGGAAGAGAAGTCTCCATAACTTCTGGCTGTGAAAACCAGTGGAGATTGTGGTTGAGATGGAGATCTGCTGGAGTCCCAGGCAGTTCCTCTTAAAGGGCCTATGCATGAACTTACTCAAACTCACTACTTCTGAGCTCCAGCACTAAGCAGCAGCTTGTAAAGCTCCAGGAACATATGGGGAGGAACTGAATTGTCTGGTTCAGGACAGGGCTGGAGGGGCAGCTTTCTCCCAAACCCAAGTGCTGGCAAAGGCCATTGTTCCTTTGCTGAGCTGAGCCCCCCAGACCAGCAGGCAGGCGCCGTATCTGAGTCTCCTGGCTAACACACTGTCGCCCCACCCTGGTGATTCCCTGAGATCCCACCCAATCCAACTTTTAGTCCCACCCAAGCTTTTCCATACAAATGGACTGTCTGGTCTCATGCTGTTGACTTTCCTAAAACCTCTCAAACAAGTAGTATCTGGCTTTGGCATCATGCCCTGTACCTCTTGCTACATGGCCCCAGGTGGGCACTAGTGGCAACCAGCCTTGGTTCACAGTTGGCCTCTATCAGGAACTTCTAAGCCCAGCAGAAGTAGCAGTTATCTGATTTCTTGTAGCTCATGCTGGGTGGCCCTGGGCAGGGCACAGGCGCAACTGACGTTTGGCCTGTACCTCCCAGGAAGCCCCAGAGCTACCATACCCAGTGGACAGCTTCAGACTATACCAAAACACCACCCACCACCTCCACAATCAACACACTCAAGGGGCAGACTCAGCAGGCACCAGAGCCCTGCTGAAGGAAGTCCTGCTCTGTGGGGTCAGCCCCTGCATCGGTGATCCTCCACTGTAGTTGCTGCCAGCCCTCACAGCTGATCAGCCTGGGGATAAATCCCTCCCATTGACATGCCAATAGCTATCAAGGCTCAACTTCAACAGGAGAGTGCACATAGTTCACAGCGGGGTGTGGGGTTGCGGGGGGGAGCGGGTGTTCGCCCAAAGTGACCGAGAGGCTACACCACTGGGTCCTACAGGACACCTATTACATAGGGCCACGCTACTAAGCCTGGGAGATATAGCAGTTCTACTTAATACATAGAAACAAACAAGAGTCAGCCAAAGTAAGGAGACAAAGAAACAGATCTCAAATGAAATAACAGGAGAAATCTCTGTTTAGAGCTCCTTCCATTTGAAGCAGAATCAGAAGCCACTTAATTTCTTTAATAGGAAAGAAGCTCAAAATATAATTTAAGTATGGTGAACATCGGTCTTAGAATTTTGCTAAGTTCTAGTCTCATTTGAAAGTAGCTACATTTTTTTTATGTTCTCTGACAAACAAAAAATGTATATAACAGCTTTAATAAGAGGCAAACTTCAAGTAGCACATATGAGATTTGAAATATTTCTTTAAAGTCAATATATGAAGATATACATCCTTTACTAATACTAGCAATTAATTATGTGTATATTCTATCTATAAATGGCATTACAGCAGTGGTTCTCAACCTTCCTAATGCCGCGACCCTTTAATACAGTTCCTCATGTTGTGGTGACCCCCAACCATAAAATTATTTTTGTTGCTACTTCATAACTGTAATTTTGCTACCGTTATGAATCGTAATGTAAATATCTGATATGCAGGATGTATTTTCATTGTTACAAATTGAACATAATTAAAGCATAGTGATTAATCACAAAAACAATATGTAATTATATATGTGTTTTCCGATGGTCTTAGGCGACCCCTGTGAAAGGGTCGTTCGACCCCCAAAGCGGTCGCGACCCACAGGTTGAGAACAGCTGCGTTACAGTATCTATAACTTTGAAGGGGATAAATGAATAATAAGTAATTAACTTTGGATATATTTCTGCCTTTAGATTAGCTTGCTACTTATCTCTACTTTCCTTTCTTCTTCGATTGTTCTACAAAGTAATCATTACAAGCAACTGTCAGGGCGCCCACCCTGACCACAAATTCATTAAAATCCATTTCGTTGTCCTTATTGGAGTCCAGGTCTTGCATTAGCTTATCAATCAACTGAGGGTCCTTTTGGCACAAAAAGGAAAAAGAAAATGTCTAGCTCCCAGGCTTTGAGATTCATAATGACAAGTGAAATCGCATCTTCCTTTTATCTATATTACATTTTTTATTTTCACTTTTAGCACCTAAGGACAGTTTCCAAAGGGCTATTTGCAGGAAGGTTTGAACCAGGCGCAGATTCTAAATGAGTCTAGCACTTTGCCCCAGGGCCACATACTTCTGGCTCAGACCTAAACACTCAGGAGATCAAACAGCAGCTCATCATGAGCCAGAGCGAGCGGCTGATGCTGAAAATGCACTCACTACACGACATCACAGGTCAAGGGCCAGGACTCGGGGAGGCAGGCAGGGAGCAGGGAAAGAAGGTTTTGCAACCAAAAAGAGATAGTGTGAGCGGCTCTACCAGTCACCAACAATGGGACTCTAAGCAAATCCCTTAACATTTTTAATATTTCGTATATGTAAATGGGGAGAATTAAATCTCCCTACAAATTTGAGGGATACGTCAACATACTTTTAAATGTGCTTAGCATCAGATTTGCTATATTTAACAAATATACGGGACACTTAGTTAAATATGAACTTCTGATGAACAATGAATACTTTTCTTTAGTAGATTGCATGGGACATACACTAGTTTATCTGGCAGCCTTACTGAGCACAACGCCTGACCAAGAAAGAGGCACCATAAACGGCAGAACTTACAGAATGACTGCAGTTATGGGTGGAGAGTAAAGCTCGGAGCCCACAGAGAGCAGGGCCCGGAGCGGACAGGACTGTGAGGCACCCACCCTTCCTCTGATTAGTGGCGGATGAGGTTCTAGAAGTAGCTCATTTCTTCCGGGATTTCCCATTGCCCTCTCGTTTGCTGCCAACCGTTAAGTGGTTGGAAACTTAAATTGATCAAAATCAACTTGATCAAAAGCAATTATAAATTTCACTTGAATAAATCAAAGTGCGAGTCTGACCAACTGAGCCTTTTATTCTAAATGTTAGATAATACAGTAGCCAAACTGAATTTGAAGAAAAAAAAATTCCTGGGGAATTCTAAAATCACTAAAAAGGTATTGTGAAGAATTGCAATATTAATATACAGCATGTGACTATAGTTAACAATACTGTGTTGCATATTTGAGAGTTGCTAAGAGAGCAATAGATCTTAAAAGTTCTCATAACAAGGAAAAAATGTTTGTAACTATGTATGGTGGCAGATGGTAACTAGACTTATTGTGGTGATCATTTGACAATATAGACAAATATTGAATCATTATGTTGTATACCTAAAACTAATATAATGTTATATATCAAATATACCTCAATAAAAAAAGTTCTAGAAAAAAATACATAAATTACCATTTGCTCTATCAATGTAATAAAAATAAAATTGTTATTTGGAATCCAAAAATAAGTTCCTTAAAAAAGTACTGTTAAAATTTTTTTACTTAAGTTTTTCCCATAGAGAGTGGGAAGAAGACTGTTGTAAATACAGTCACTGTAGTCTTAATGCAGGGTTTGTACAGAATAGCATCATGCAAGGGCAGTACATCCTGCTCAAGTCCATTTGAGGCAGCTCCATAAACATCAAAATGACGTGTTTTAAACCTCGAGGAGGCCCCGAACACTGCACTGTAAGGTTTCATGTGTAGATTTATTACACTAACTCCTGGCTGTCTTGAGATGTGAATCACTTTACTACCCAGCTGGTTACTGGCCAGACACACCCTTTCCATCAATCCCTATCAGCTGTGCTTGGCTGACAAAGCTTTCCGAGTATTTGCCATTCATTAGAGACTTTGCTGCCACAACATAAAGCACCCCGGGCTTCATTTCTGGCCCCCAAAACAACATCCATTTACAGACACCTGGACAAAGCTCCAGGTATAACTAGTGTAACTAGCTGTAACTATAGTTATAGTTACTAGTTTTATAACTATAACTAGCTACATCTCTGCTGCACCAGGGTGTTGAGAATTGATGAGAGCCTCACATAGAATTTACAATACTTGGAAACCCACAGGTGATACAGGAAAGGCCACACACGGACGACGTGCACAGAAAACAAAGGTTCTCGTGTTTGCGCCCCTGTGTTTCCAATCTCCAAATAACTTACGCTGTGTCTGTGGCAGTCACAGGGGACGATGTGCACAGAGGCTGTCCTGGGTGTGCACCTCGCCCGCCTGGACCGCAGGGGCAGGGAAGCTGGGACACACCGGGAGGGCGTCCGTGAGCTCTCTCTGCGGAAGCATCTTCATCCCCCCTTGTTGACCTTGAATCGGTCCCCTTCTTGGCAGGAGAAGCACTGGAAGATTCTAATCATGGTGTCCATGGCCCTGGCCAGCCGGGTGGGCTTGTTGGCAGCAGCACTGACCCTGCCGGGGCAGGCCACCAAACTCAGGTGGGGAAACACCGACACGTTCATTAACACAGAAGAGCGTTGTGCTCGTAAGTTAGAAATCAGACAACAAATATTAAAACACAGGCTAAAAATAAACAAAAAGAGGAAGAAAACACCTAACTTCTTACTGGTTCCGCCAAGGCGCAGCTCTGTCAACAGGTGTTTACAATTAAATTATGTGCATTTATAACCGAGGTTTCCACCTCAGCACACCTGTTCCCAGGAAGATGAAAACCACCTGAGACGAGAGATTCCAAAGGAAGAGCCTCGGAGCCTGTTTTCAATCACCAGAAGGAACAGGTGTGAGCTGCTGCCCTGAGGGTCATAAGGAAGGGTTGGCGCCCACTGTGTGCATTAGCTGAGAAGGCAGGAGGAGGAGAGGAAGCCTTCAGTGATCCCTCACTACAGGGCGTAGAAATACAGTCAGTTGCTAGGAAGTTGATAAGGGGGGAAAAACTCTAAAAACAGAGGAGCGAAGAAAATACACTGGTTTGCTTTTTTTGCTGGGCGACGCGAACATGAGTGGGCCGGAGAGCGACAGCGGCCTGCACCGAGAGCCTTCCTCCGGGGCCTGCGACTCGAAGTTGGCGCTTTGGAGAGCCTGGGACAGCGGAGCGCCCGGGGGTTCGCCGCCAGGCCTCGAAGGCGCGCCTCCCCAGGATCGCCAGGACGGGAGCAGCAATGGGAACCAGCGCCTCCCCCACCTCTCCTCGGACGGGCAACAACATCTCTACAGCCCCGCGCCGCCCCTCTCCCATACCGGAGTCGCCGAATATCAGCCACCACTCTACTTTCCACCTCCCTACCAGCCGCTGACTTATTCCCAGTCGGCAGACCCCTACTCGCATCTGGGAGAAGCGTACGCTGCCATCAACCCCCTGCACCAGCCGGCGCCCGCCGGC